TGTTTGTTTTTTTTTTCTTTGGAGTACATAGTTAATAATTTTGATTATCTATTTTGCTTAAAATCTTCTCACAATCTTAATGAGTTTAATGTTAGGAGTTAATAAGATTGCTAATTTCAAATTCAAGTTGTTTATAACATTCAATTTTAATGTAATCATATATATTATTTAACCTAATTAATCATCTTTAATTCAAAGGTCAATGTATAAATGTATAACTCATAAATTCAAGTTAAGTCAATAATCTAAATGATCTAAGTTAGTAAATTATTAATTTTTCCAGACTATGAATTATAAAGCAGTGTTAATTTGAACTGTAATAATAAGAATTGAGAGAAATTAAAAGAAGACAATATAAAAATATAAGCATAAGGGAATTTAATTAAATGTTAATTATAACACACTTAAATATTAATAAATAACACATGTTTTCATCTAAATGATAGAAAGCTACAAAATATGCTATACATATAACAAACAAGATAATGTATCAGATAACTAGAGCATAAAGCACCACTCTAACCATTATAATAAACTCACTAAAGGCACAAGTGGGTTGCCTCTCATAAGTGCTAAGATTATAGTCTTCAACCAGACTATACTAATGATTTTGTTTCTAGAAGAACTAATTCAGTTATATTTCATAATCAATCAATGTCTTCACATAAATAAGGTTTCAATCTAGGGTAATTAACTTTGAAAACCTGCATACTTTTTATCCTGAATTTCCACATTTCCATTAAAAAATGTTCTTATAACAGTGAAAGGTTTAGACCATCTATATTTTAATTTTCCTAGAAAAAACTTAAGCCTATAATTAAAAAGTAAAAACATCATGTCCAAGAGTGAACTATTTCTTAAGAAGTTCACTATCATGCCATTTTTTAACTCTTTCTTTATAAATCCTTACATTTTCATAAGATTTATTTCTAATTCCTTCAATTCACTCAACTGCATCAATCTTTTTTTCTTTTATACCTTCAAAATTAGAATTTAATTCTTTAATTTCAAATTTCATAGGAAGGTGGCGAACTTTTCTAAAATTAATTTATAGGGAGTCATACCAATAGGAGTCTTTAAAGCATTTCTATAGGTTCATAATGCAACATCTAATTTAATCACCCAATCCTTCCTATAAGAACTAAACATTTTTTTTTTGAGATTTAATTAATCTCACTATTACTAATCTCAGCTTGGCCACTAATTTAGGGAGAATAAGTAGTATCTTCTTATGATAAATATCATATTTCCTTAAAACTTTTTCTATTCTTTTATTACATAAATGACTTCATCCATCACAAATTAAAACTCTTGGCATTCCAAACCTAGAAAAAAAATATTTTTCTTTAAAAACTGATCACAAATTTAGCATAAGTTTTAGATGTTTCCACACCTTCCATCCACTTTGAAATATAATCTACAATAATAAGAATATATTGATTTCAATGGAATGGCACAAGAACCCCCATAAAATCCAATCCCAAAACATCAAATATGTCTATTTTCAAAACATAGCTTAATGGATTTTCATTTCTTTTTGAAATATTTCCTACTCTTTGACATTGATTGCATTTTTTTTAATTCATTTACATCCTTGAATAGAGTAGGCCAAAAAAATCCATATTGAAGGATTTTAGAAGCAGTTGGTATCAAGCACTCCTTAATGATTTGCTCTATTTATTCTTTAGGGACAAATATTCTTATAATTTGATTGTTGTGTGATTTAAATAAAAAATGTTCATCCCAAAACCAAAACTTGGTATCATTCAAAAACCTCCTCTTTTAAATTAGCAATAAATCATAAGGAAGTATACCACTAATAATAAATTTAACAATGTGATCATACCAAGGTGATTTGTTTAAATGAAGAGCAAATAATTATTCATCAGGAAAAGTTTCATTAATTTGATCCTCATAAAATGTATGCTTTTCAATAAAAAGTCTAAAAAGTTGATCATTAATTTTATTTTCAATGCTCTTTTTGTCCAAAATTTTTATATCAAACTCTTATAACAGAAGATTTCACCTAACCGATTTAGGTTTAGTATGTTTCTTTATTATAAGATATTCATAATGATTATTAAAAATAACTACTTTGGCTCCAATCAAGTATGATTTAAATTTATAAACAGTAAAAATAATAGCTAGAAATTTTTTTCCAATAGTTGTATAATTATGTATTGTGTAGAATTTAAAGTTTTGCTAGCATAAAACATGGCATGGGATTTCTTATCTCTCTTTTATCCATGAACTGCACCTACAGTGACATTGCTAGGATCATACATCACTAAAAGGTAATGACCAATCAATAGCAATAATAACTTAGGCAATAGTCAAGTGTTGTTTTAAAGTAGTAAAGGCTGCAAGACATGAATAATTAAATACAAATGAAACATCCTTCACCAATATTTGACATAATGGTTTAGAAATTTTAGAGAATTTCTTAATAAATCTCCTAAAAAAACTTTCATGACCTAAGAAAATCTTATTGCCTTTACTAGAACTAGGAGGAGGTAGTTTTTTTATCATTTGAGTTTTTGTAATGTCAACCTTAAATCCCTTCTTAGAAGTCTTATACCCTAAAATAATGCCTTCAGTTACCATGAATTTACACTTCTCCCAATTTAAAACTAAATTTGTTTCCACACATCTTTTCAAAATAAAGGTTATATTCTCAAGACAAGAGTTCATTATAGTGCCAAATATAAAGAAGTCATCCATAAAAAATTCAATATCTGACTCAATTAAGTTTGAAAAGTTTGGCATCATACATCTTTAAAAGTAGTAGGAGCATTATAAAGACAAAGAGGTATTCTTCTAAAAGTAAAAGTTCCATAAGGACTAGCGAAGGTAGTCTTATTTTGATCCTTAGGTGCAATAGGAATTTAATAATATATTGAATATCCATCTAGAAAATAGTAAAAGAAATGTCCTACCAATCTATCCATCATCTGATCAACAAAAGCCTAAGGAAAATGATCATTTCCAGTGGTTTTATTTAAGTTTCAAATAATCTATACAAATCCTCCAAACTGTAACAGTTCATATGAGTATAAGTTCATAATGTTCATTTATTATAATAGTCAATCCTCCTTTTTTAAGACCACAATGAATAGGGCTCATCCAAGAACTGTCAAAAATATTAAATGATCCCAACATCAAGCCATTTGAGAATCTCTTTCTTAACAACTTCATTCAAGGAAGGTTTAAGTCTTCTTTTAGGCTTTGCTTTTTGTATTAAATTAACTTCCATTTAAATTCTATGCATGCAAATTAAGAAATTAATCCCCTTAATGCTAGCAATTATTCACTCCAAAATCCTTCTAAATTTACTTAAAACCCTAATCAATTCACTTTCTTAATGTTGTTCAAAATTTGCAGAAATGATTACATTAGGAGTAGAATTATTACCCAAAAAGGCTTGAGATGATAAGGTAAAGCCTTAAGTTCTAATTTGGGGACCTTTTCAATAGATGGTTTTAACATTTTTTTCAAAAGAGGAAGTTTTTTATAATTCAAAGTTTTCATTGATCAAACTTTCATTTCCATCATGTATTTCAATATATTTCCCTAACATCTCTTTATTCTTTTCATCTTCTTCCTCTTCCAAAAATTTTCTTTCCAACAATTCTTCTTTTTTAATCTCTACTATAATATCTTCCAAATTCACCCTAATGTAGACTTTATTCTTCTCTTCAGGGAATTTGATAGATTTAAGCATATTAATTGTAACCTCCTGATCTTGAACACTTATTGTCAATTCACCATTTTGCACATCTACCATGAATTTTTCAATCGCTAAGAAATGTCTTCCTAAAATGAGAGGAGTTTTCCTATCTTCTTGTATATCTAAAATAATAAAGTTAGCATAGAAGATGAATTTATTAACTTTGATCAAGACGTCTTTTATTACCCCTCTTGGATAGGTGAAATTTATGAGCCAACTAAAGAGTAACAGCAGTTGGTTGAACCTCTCTTATATCTAACCTTTTAAAAACAGAAAGTGGCATGTGGTTGCGACTAGAACCTAAATCACATAAAGCTCTTCAACAAAATTTATCACCAATAGTTAAAGGATTGGTAAACTCCTAGGATCCCTAACTGTTCCAAGAAGTTTATTTTGAATTATAGTAATACACCTCATTTAGTGTTATAGTTTAAAATTCCCCAAGCTTCCTTTTCTTATTCACAATATCCTTCATAAATTTTATATAAGTAGGCATTTATTCTAAAGCTTCATAAAAAGGTATATTAATCATTAATTTTTAAAAACTTCTAAGAACTTTGAGAACTCTTTGTCAAGATTTTGTTTGATTAACCACTGAAGAAAAGGTGGTGATGATCTCTCTACAACCTTCCTAATTAATTTTTTAGGTTCTTTTATAGACTCAGGTTATTGTGGTGAAGATTTATTTTCTTGTTGTTCATCTTCACCATCATTCTTATGAGGTAGATCTTTATCTTTTAAGGTGTCTCCCAAATCTTCCTCACTTCTGAGTTTAGTATTATGACATTATTCTTCCATTTTTTTATAATTAATTAACCTAGCAAGATGCCCAATTTGATTTTTAATTTATCTTAGAGCTTAGATTAATTATGTGATTGGATTCCTAATTTCTTACCATTATTTTCCAAGGATAACTTCCCATTCCTATCATAATGGAGTTATTCAAAATCTAAGTGACAATACAATGACGCTTGAATTTCTAGGATCTATATTAATATTATTATTTCCATCTATCCTATTTTTAACTTTCAGGTTATTTCTTAAAAATTGTTGTAACTTGTGTAGTTTAAATTGACAAAGCATCATATTCTTATATTCTTGATTTAGTCGATCAGCAGACCACTAGAAATTATTAGTAGTCATTTTATCTATTAATTCATATGCTTCCTCGAATGGCTTAGACATTAAAGATCCTCCAACATCAGTAACTATTTCTGCTCTAAGAGTTCCTACTAATCCATTATAAAATATTTGAATAACTAACCAATTAAGTAAAGTATAGTGAGGGAATTTCCTAATCAATTTCTTAAATCTCTCACATGTCTCATAAATTGATTCTCCTTCAAACTAGGTAAAAAAGTAATATCATTTCTATGTTTAGCGATCTTTAAAGGTGAGAAATATTTAGCAAGAAACTTATGATCCAACTCATTCCCAGTGGTTATAGAGCATATGGGTAAAAAATTCAATCATATCTTAACTTTATCACTTAGAGAAAATGGAAACAATCTAAGAAAAAAAGCAACATTACTAACATCATTATACTTAAATATTGAATTTCTAAGAAACTAGTTATGTATAAATTGGGATCTTCCTTAAGATTTCCCACAAATTGTTAAAATTTGAATCATTTGAATTATGACAAAATCTAATTCAAAATAATGAGCTTGTATCGTAGGTCTATTAATGGTCTAATAAATTTCATCTACTATAGGATTAGCATAATCCATAAGAGGTTTAGATTGATCTTAATATAACATAGGTTCAATCATTATCACTAACAATTTGTTTTTTTGAATTTTTGAAAGGGTTCTTTTTATTTCAACATCAAACAACAAATTTCTTTTATTTGTCATGCAATCAATAAATAAAAAATAAAAGAAAAGAAACAAGTAGATATAATTATGCAATTGATTCAATAATATAGTTAAAATTTACAAAAGCAAAATAGTTCCCCAGTAGCGGCACTAAAAACTTGATGGAGGCTATGGAGTGAACTTTTGAATGGAATAAAAATCATGGGCTCTATCACCCCAAAATAATGCTTAGGTTATCTTTGATATAAATGATAGCAAACCCCCTTAACATATGTAAGTATACATATTTAATTAAATAATAAAGTGATAGAGTAGAATGTCAAACCCATGAGAAAGTATGCTTACTTGCAATAAACTACTACTGTTATTGATATTTTTATAGGCTATCACTTAAAAATAGCAAAATATTTGATATAATATTTAATTAAAGTGTTTTGGAATGATGTATATAAATTTAATATCTTTCCTATTAAGACTCTTAAAAGTAATGTGATTTAGAGCATATGCAACTCAAGATCTTTATTATGCCTATAGGGGTTAAAATGATATATGTTGACCTTCTGCAATTATGATATCTCCTCAAGAACCTACAACATTTTACATCATATGTCTAGACAAGCAAACATCCTATCTCAATACTCCTGGTTGTTCTTATATTCCTCCGTCGAGGTTATACATCACATTAAATTTTAACTATACATATGGACACTATGTATATTAAATAAAGAGCAGGATAATTTGAAAATATCTTTTAACAGTTATAGAATAAGAGTCTTCATTAGTACTAAACATGCATTGTACTTTAACTATAAAAAATAAGAGAATTATCCAGGCATAGAATGACTAACATGAAAACTCATAGTCATTAAACTCATGGAAGACTTAAAATTTTAGAGAGTGATATCACAAGGATCAAAGTATCTCCTATACACTCTTTCTCACTTTAATTTAAAGATTAGCTTTAAGAGATATAAGCTAAACATTCCAAATGATTATATCTTGTACTTTCCTAGGCTCCCTTAGATTTTACTCTAAGAGGGAATAAGAGAAATACTTTAAAAAGAACTAAATTTATATAAGTGATTAAACTCCCATACAAACACAATATCGCAACTATTTATAAAAAAAAAAATCTAAAATGAATCTAGCATTATGTTGCTTCAAAAAATGGCACCACGGTGACTTAGAAGTGTACTAGCACCTCGGTGCTTAAGCTTTTACAACACCACAACGCTTGCTGATTTGGACCAGTTACTTAGTGAATGGTCACATCTTAATACTGATAGAACATGGCCCTTAGAAGTTACAACTATAAAGCTACAGTGTTGTGGACACTTGATTACTACAGTGCTAAGGTGCAGAAATGATGCTAAGGTGTTGGAAATTCTGGCACTGCGGTATTTGAAAAAAGAAAATTCAGCACTGCTGAGCTTACTTTTTCACACAACAGTATTGAAAATGTTGTGGCACTATTTGTGTTTCCCCCACAGTGCTTTCAAACACATAAATTGGAGATACCATGTTAGAATTTGAGTTCCTTGGCAATATTGAAGTAATCACCATAGTGTTATTTTGTCAAATGTTGCGGCACTATTGTCTGATGAAAGTTTTCTATAATATTTTTAGTTTTACCTTGACAAAAATAAATAAAAAAACACATTTTCACTAAAAATAAAATTTATAAAATAATAAGTAATTTACACTTATTAATTATACAGGAAAAATAAAAAATAATAAAATAATAAAATAATAAGTGTTGAATAGAACCAAAATATCCATAGGAATAAACTGTAACGCCATATCGATTAATATTGAAGCACCAATTTCAATGTGAAGGTGCTAACCTTCTCTATTTACAAGCATCACAACATTATAAATATGAGCACCATAGTGCAATACATCTATTTTGTGCCCAATAATAGCACCATGACAATGGGTGTCTCAGGTAAATTCATGTAGGACTTACAGCCTTTCCAACACTGCAGCACCATAATGTTATTTCATGAACCAAAGTGCTCATATTTTATAGCACCATGACGGATCAGTTATAAATTGAAAGAGCTATGTTAACTTAGTTAAAATATGCACTAATTTGGGCCATAAATATGCCACATCATCCAATGGCACAACGGTGCCAACATTGCAGCATTGAGGACCTAGTTCATTTTTTTATCATTATAGTGCCACCCTATTCAGCACCGTGGTGCTTGAGTTCTATCATGTACTTACCATAGATAGATTTTAGTTATATTATTTATAGAGCTCTACCCCTTGAATAAAAATTTATTACTTTTTAGTATATTGTTTTAGTGTCCCTCGGAGTAAAGTTTAAGGGAGGTTATAGAAGTGCAAGATACAATCTCTAGGAGTGCTTAAGATGTGTTTGAATAAACAAATCTATAAGTGATTGAAGTAGTGTAGACAAGGTACTTTGATCCTTCTTGGTGATAAAATTCTACTACACTTATACTTTTTTTGTTCTATAAATAAAATAAATTTGAGTTTATGTGTTATTTCTTCTATGCCTAGATAGATCCCTTTATGATGTAAAAAGCATATTAAGTAATTTAATGTAGACTCTTATTCTTGAATAAAACTATGAATATTTTCATTATATCTCAGTCTTCATTTAATGCATAAAATAGCATTGTGTGTAGTTAAAAGTTTGTATAATGTATAGTCTCGACGAAGGAATACAAGAATAATTAGGAATATTAAAATGGAATATTAATATAATATGTTTAAAAATTATCAGTTCTTTAGAGATAGTAAAATTATAGAAAAGCTACTAATCTTTCTTTTCACCTACAAGCTCAATAGATATATAAGGATGCACATGCTCTAATCCATATCTACAATTATGGGTCTCATTAGGAAAGATATGTGATTTACATACATCAGCCCAAAACATTTTTTTCAAATTATATCAACCATTTTTACTCTACTTTGTTTAGTGGTAGGAACTAAAAACTTAATTTTTATTTCACTAGGATAAATTCCTGTAATTGGAGTATGTAGTAGTAGTTTTATTACAGTATAGCATAACACATTCTCATTGGTTTGATGCACTACTCTATCATATTATTACTTAATTAAGAATGTAAACTTACAAAAATTAGTGTACAATAATAAATTTTATATCAAAGAAAATCTAAGCATATTTCAAATTTAACGAGTTTCAAGTTAGCTCACCATCCTCTTCCTTGCCATTCCCCTTAAGTTTTTGGCACATTGTTCGGGAAGTAATGTGCTTATTGAAATTTACTATATTATTGAAACAAGTACATATTTAGACCTACTTGTACTTTTCTTTATTTTGTTTGTTAAGAAAATAATAATTAAAAAAAATCTATTTGATTTTTTTATTTTCTAATTTTCAATTATTTTATCGTTATTGTATAATTGGTAGATTTAGTATGGAAATGACCTTTACAAAAATTAAAAAATCCAAAAAGATTTCAATAATGTATGATACAGTTTAAGATCAGGATCATGCTAAACTACTAAGGGAGTATGCTAATCCTATAGTAGAAGGAATCTATGAGAGTATTAATAGGTCTACTATTTAGGCTAATAATTTTTAATTAAAACTAACCATTATCTAAATGATCAAAAATTCCTATTTTGGAGGAACTCGAATTAAAGATCCTAACTTATATTTAGCCAATTTCATAGAAATTTATGGAACTTTTAAGTATAATGGTGCTAGTGATGATAACATTAGACTTAGACTATTCCCATTTTCTTAAAAGGAGTGAGGCTAAAATACAGTTAAATTTTTTTTCCCTCAAACTCTAAAACCAATTGGAATGATTTTGAGTACAAATTCATAGAAAAGTGTTTCCCTTCTTCAAAAACTATTAAACATAAAAATTATATCACATCTTTTGCCCAGTTTTAAGGAGACTCATTTATGAAAGTTAGGAGAGATTGAGCAGATGCTTAAGAAATACCCTCACTGTGCTTTACCTGATTGGATGGTCATTCAAACCTTTTATAATGGATTAATAGGATATTACAACTCAATCATAGTTACTACTATTGAAAGATTATTAATGTCTAAGTGTTTAAGGATGTTTATTAATTAATAAAGGATATGGCCATTAATTGTTTCCAGTGGCCTGCTGGAAGGATAAATCCTACAAGAGGAGTTGGAGTTTAAGAATCAAATGATTTATCAATTCTTACTGCTCAAGTTGTTGTTATTTTGAAGAAATAAGATACATTGGAAGTCAGATCCAGAATAAATAGGTATAATAATTACCCTTATTTAGTTAACGATCTTAGATGTGTGAACGTTGTGGAACCAAACCATGGAACACTGCAGTGTTACCCTTCATGTTTTGAGCAAATTATTCATGTTGGGAATGGTAATTTACCCATGGAAGATATTATCTTGTAATTAGGAATTCAACTGTAATATCAATTTACTGTCCTTAGAAAAATAGAAAACCATATAAGGCATCTTGGTACATTATTTAATAATAAAAGTTTGAAGAACAATGTAATAAAATCTAACTTATGAGTGGGAGAGATTTTGGTGACCCATATAAGGATGCATA